TGACGTATCGATCACCGGAAGATTGAGGTCCGGGGTCAAGGATGAGCTACCTCCAGAACCTTTTGCTTTCCTCTTCCGCGGCACAATTTGAGACTCATCTTTCTTGCTCTGAAATAACGAACGGCTTGCGTCCGCCGCCTTTCGGGTATCACTATCCGACTTAGAACCCTGGTTCTTCAGAGGTGAAAGAACCTCCTCTTCTTCCTCTCTTCGGTCGTCATGGACAGGATTCTTCGAGCGCAGGTCATCGGATCTCGACATTGAACCCTTTGATTTCTTCGAACCGATCGAGGAGCCACTACCATAGGATTCCGCAGCAGCTTCATGGAAGCTCTGCGTCTTCTTCTTCCTCACCTCCGGTGCCCTAAGCTTGATGTTATAGGGCAATTTACCCGAAGCATTGCGGACCACCGGCTTGTCACATTCCAGCTCCGAGTGGCCCATGATGCCACAAGATAAGCAATAGAACGACATTTTTTCATACTGCAAATCAAACCATACAGGGTCTGCATCTTTTTTCGTCTTCGAAAGCACACCTCTTCTCATAGGTTTTGCCACCTCAATCGCCACTTGGGCGCGCAGGTAGGGGCCACTAGCTTTGACGTCTTTATCCACATCCATCTTCTTCACCACGCCAACCAGGCCCATGGCACGTTCATCACGATGCCAGTTCATCCAGCCGGTTCATAACGGTGAATATGCGTGCATGTACAGGACATGTACACTTATGTTGTGATTGAAAAATAATAATAATAATAAAAGATAATAGAATAAACAATAAACCATTTCTTGTTTAGTGGACTGGAAGAAATTATTTGTTTTCGAGAGAGAAGAAATGATGAAGCCTGGTTGATATTGCGGGCCAAATTATTAGCCTACTGAGCTGGTCAGTGGCAACTTTTTTGGGCTGCACAAAGGTTCAACTAAGATTATGGGCCCAATTAACTGTTAAGTGGCTTCTCTTGTGGTTCGTCCAATGCCCTTAGACCATCTTTAAGCGTACATAAAACATGGTTTTGGATCACTAGAAAAATATTGGATGGCAAAAAGAACATTCCTCTAATAATGACCTATATTAGTGCCAACATGGACCACTCATCGGATAGTCATTCGTGGATGCAACGTTAAGAGCAGAGGTACTACATTATGAGTAAAATGGAAAAGATGTGAGGCACGGGCTTAATTTTGGAGATTTACTCAAGAATCCAAGGGAGATTGGGAAGGGAGCAGTGATCAAGTGAGCTTGGTTTGGGCGGCAACTTGCTCAATTTAATTTGGTATGGTATGAATCACTACTACTAGAAAACAGACCTTTCACCCACTTCGATTTTAGCCTTTAGTCTCGATATTTTTTGCGTTCGGGACTAAAGGACTTTTAGTCCCGGTTCGTAATACCAACTGGAACTATAAGTCATCTTTAGTCCCGGTTGATGTCACCAACCTAAAGTAAAAGTTCACCAACTTTTAGTCCCGATTGGTAGGGTGATCTTTTAGTCCCGGTTGGTGTCTTCAACCGGGACTAAAGGTCTTTTACCCGGGACTAAAGGTCTCCCACGAGTCTATTCAAAAGAAGAGCGCACATGACTCTGTCATAAGTGGTGTGCAGTTGAGTTGGTAATGCACCTACGCGCGAGAAGAGAGGTGTTGGGTTCAAATCTCACGTAGAGCAAGCGAGGCCTCGAGAATTTCCTTTATTTTTTCTTCCGTGGGTGACCTTTAGTCCCGGTTCCCAGACCTGGGACTAAAGGTGTGGACCTTTAGTACCGGGAATTTAGTCCCGGTTGGGAAAACCGGGACTAAAGGGCTTTCCCAACCGGGACTAAAACCCATTTCTCTAGTAGTGAATGTCACTATGTGGATGTGAGAGGGAACCCGGAGGACATTGCGGAGCAGTCTGCAGGCAATGGCATAGCATGAACTTGTGCTAGAGGCAATGGAACTTGGCAGCCTATATTTGTGTAGCATTGCCATTGTTTGCTTCTTCTCGTGTTGCCGTCGCTTGCTTCTGCCACATTGAGCTATCACTGTTGTATACTTTTAGGTGCTTGTTATGAGAAGAACCATGTATATGAGGTGTTGGGGCGATCGAAGGAGGGAGGTACGTAGTAGCGCTTGTGTTAAAATAATGTGTTCCTCTAGCCCACCCCCATACAAGAACGCCCCAAACCTTCACCCAAAAACACATGAAAAAAAAACACTGTCACTCCGAAATCAACCATCCTACACTACACCTGATGCCGCCCCTTAGCGCATAGAGTTTTCCCTGGATGAAGCTTCCGCGAGAGGAGATATGGCCTAGTATGAGCTGCTAAGGACCAGTGCCCTGTTCGTTTGGCTGATAAGCCATGGCTGAAAGTACTGTTGGCTAATTTGTTATGAGAGAAAAATATTGTTCGTTGGCTGAAAAAGTACGGCTTATAAACCAAGCGAACAGGTGTATCAGGGGCTCATCGTCCCAGCATCAATTCAAACCTCACCACTTCATAGGAAGGACCAGGTGTATCGAGACTGCAACATGCATCCTCCTACTGGGTCTCATCTGTGACCTCCTTACTCTTCAAGATCCAAGTTTATGGTGTCCCAGGTTGAGGCCAAGGTTGATGATTGGAGAGCTCAAATTGTTGCTTATATACACGATCTAAGTGTTCAAACTGATAGGAGTGTTCGATAGATATCATTTAAACATATGTCAGCCAATGTGAGTTATATTGACGAAGTGGCGAAGACTTATTGTTGAAGGTATCTATGGTACCATCAATTGGTTCTGAAGATGAATTGGTTACTACAAAGAGCTGGGTTCTATTGGGCTACGTGATAGCCGATTGCTTTTGCTATTACAAAGGGTGTGAAAAGTGCTAGCGGTTTGGCAATGTGCAGTTGTTACCTGCTGCGATGATGTATCCCATTATTAAACCATGGTCGTTTTGAGGATGGAGTTTGGACTCATTTGGCATATTCATCCTCCCTCTAAGGGATATCACTTTGTGTTGGTGACTATAGATTACTTTACAAGATGGACTAAAGTTGTGCTTTTGAAGAACATGACACATAAAGAGGTAATTGAGTTTATTATTGAGCATACTATTAATATATTTAGCTTACCTCAGACCTTATCCATAGATCAAGGTACTTTATTATTTCAAAGGAAGTGTGAGAATTTGCCAACTAATGTAAAAAAATTGCTCAATTCATCTCCATATTACACTCAAAACAATGGTCATGCCAAGTCTAGTGATAAGATGTTGCTCAATATTGTGAAAAGAAAAATTCATATAACCCCAGGAGATGGCATGATGTTTTGATTGAAGCTTTATGGGCTCACCATATCTCTAGACACGATACTACTAAGGTACTCGATCCTTTTGAGCTAGTGTATGGACAACAGTGTTAACAATTGAAGTGAATTTGGATGCATACAAATTAGCTAAGAAAAATGATTTATCTGCTACCATGTATCATGAATTGATGATGGACAATTCGACGAGGTGGTCAACAAAAGAATGAAGGCTTTGAAGGAGATTGAGAGATACAAATTTCATATTACCAGAGCTTCGAATAAGAAGGTAAAAAATAATTTGCTTCAGGTTGGTAATATAGTTTGGAAGACTGTTTTGCCTCTCAGGACGAAGAGCAACAAGTTCTACAAGTGGTCTCCCAGTTGGCAAGGGCCATATATAAGGTGATCAAGGTCATCTTCAGAAATTCGTACATGGTGAAGACACCGCAAGGAGATTGTCTACCCAGGGCACTCAATGGTAGATATTTGAAGAAGTATTACCCGAGTGTACGGCAAGATGCTTGAAAAAGTAAATAAGTTTCATATATATCGCCCTTAGAACAAGAATGGTTGATGAACTAAATGTTTATCATCACCCTTAGATGTTTTATGGTTGCTATATGTTTTCAAATTCACAAGCTTCACCTAAAAACAGGGGGCATGTGTTGACAACCAAATTGGGCCAAGTCTGGCAAAATCGGCTAAGTCTGTTTTCCTATTGTTTTGGCTGACTCTGGCAAAACTAGCTTTGCCGGTGGTACAATCTGAGAAGAAGTAGGATTTGAGAGTTGTAAACATTTCTTCATGTGATAAGACCATCCACTCTATAAATAGGAAGGGGCACATTCGATTGAGGGTATATAAATGATAAGAAATAAATACATCTACTTTTTATACATCTCATACCCGAATTTCTTCCAACCCTCATGTTCTCCTGTTCTGCAAGTTTTTGACAACATTTAGGACTTTCTAGGTTCTTGCCGATCCTAGAACACCCCTAGGTTTGTCTCCACGATGGGTCTTCTCAGGAGGCATTCGTAGGTCTTTGTGGCACTTCTGCCCAAAACTGACTAAGCCAATTATCGCGGGTTCGCCGACAGTTGTGGCGTTTCACGATACAAGTGCTCGAGCTCTTTCTAAGTGGGACCTTTGCTGTGTCACTACACATGATATGATACTTATTCTGTGTACCAATGCATTAAAGATCACCAATGCTTCTATTCCTTCCAACACAATTGTCATCTTACATGTCCTTTGTGCTACTTCAAAAGCTGCTTCATCTATATATGGTTACATATCTAATTCTAAGGCTAGTAATTCATGCTCCCCTGGGGAAGTCTGTGTGATGTTAGTAGCTAAGGCTAGCATATATTTATGTTATATAAATATATAGATATTTCAAAGCATAATATAGTACCTTAAACATCCTACCAAAAAGATATCCTTGGTCAATTTATATCTTTTGTTGATCATCACATATAGTTTGGTAGTGCTTTAAAATCGACATATCTCGTTCTACTCTTTTTTGACCCATGATGATTGCATTCTGTGGTAGTATTTATGCTATTGGTGCTATACATGTCGCCAAAAGTAAACAACCTTTTATCGTATAGCATTAACTTCTATCCTGTTTTAGCTTCTTCAAGTTGCCTATAAAATACAATTCTCTCTCTCTTTAGAGCTACCTCACCGTAAGAGATAGGAGAGATAACAACACAATCCAATGGCTCATAAAGCTAACCCTAGAGATCTCTATCCCTATGGCTTAACCTCCCTTGGAGCTGCAGTAGAGCCCAAGCCACAGAGTGTAGAAACACTCTACATCTGTTCATTTTGCAACAAGACTTTCAAAAGTCCTCAAGCTCGTGGCGGGCACCAGAACGCACATAAGAAGGAAATTGCTGTGCTTAGGAGGAATTTGGAAGAGGAGATGTCAAATAAACGTGCAAAGCAAGCTCATAATGTCTTTGTTGCATCTCATGAGATCAAGCAACTTCCACTTGGTAGTGATTCTTTTGACGTTATCACAAGCCTCAATGTGGACTCCGAATCATGATTTCTGATATGATTAACCAAATAAGCCTTTGCTTGGAATGGATGTTTATCCTAAATCGACCATCATTATATTGTTGAATAGACTAGGGAAATGGCTGCATGCTTTCCCTTGTTGCTTTTGTTTCTCATGTTCTAAAATTTTAATGTCTTAGTTAAAGGTGTTCGTGAGAAAACATTGTTATGTAAGATCCCTTTCAGTTTTGCTAGTGATTCTCAAGAAACTTATGTATGTTTTGAATGGACGTGTTTATACATGGACAATTCCATAGCAATCTAGGTTGAGGTATGTAGTGTGGATAGTATAAATTAATGGAACATCAAGCTACATGATTAGTTGTAGCCTCCATGGTGATGGTAGTGAGGAATCCCGTGGCATTCGGTCCAATTTGAATTAGGTCCATAATGGCCCATATGTGTATTGATATGAGATCGTGTGGGTTTAGGCCAACTTTCTTGGTGAGGGTGGGTTGAACCAACATATAAGGCCTATATAGGCCATCTTGGCGTTGCACACCGCCATGATACTGAACTTGTTTGGCCTCATGGGTGCGTATGCTGCCAGAAGCTGCAGGAGACTGAGGACCTCTGCTTACATCCTGGCATTAGTGATAGGAGTTTCTGTATACATTGTTGTTCTTGTCTTAGTGTCCATAGGTGTCGCGAAACGGCTGAAAGGAGTAATGGCTAGTGGAACGAGTGATCTGGTGCTTCTCTATAGAAGATTTGTAAAACCTGGCGACATGAGCATAAAAGGTTAAGTCACAAATTGTACATACTTTTTTGAATTTTGGATAGGCTTCAGATATGACTTATCATAATCTTGTCTGAAACATTGTTGTAATTTGAGTAGTTGGTTTGTATTATCTTTGCGGAAAATGCCCTGCTGGATTGATGTTTCCTTTGGCTTAAATTAGCTATCCATGCAAATATAACCTTCTAGGTATTCTCCTTCTCTATTCTACTAGTGTTAACTTTAAGGAAAGATGTTCGTTATATAAGATATCCTTGATAGTACATTGCTAAAAAAATTTAGCATCATGAAGAGGAAAAAACATAAATATTTGTGCCTAAGTATCCTTGATAGTACATAAGCCTTTGGTCTTCATGTTTTTTATGGCATAACTGAGGTACTCGTGACTCAAAAGGTACTATAGTAGCATCTGCTCACCAAAATCAAAATCTCACAATAGTATCGGCTTGATATACATGTGCTACTGCTCAAGCTATAATGAATTAATAATTTCATAAAACTACAAGTATTTGTGCCCAGTACCAAGGAACTACCTGATAGCAATTTCACAGACCTGCAACATTTTACTAGACCCACATGTCAGCCAGACAGCCACACAAGTTATGTGTGTGGACCCACACATTGATTTGTGTGCCAGACATGTGGGTCAATGGAGAATGTTACAGGTTTGTGAAAGTGATTCTCAGATGCTAAGGCTCCCTAATAGCTTGGCATGAATATCTGTAGTTTTGTAAAATTAATTCTTAGTAAAAGCTTCCAATTTTTTTGCCAATATTTTGAGGAAGTGTTTTTCGCCAAAACTCAACAGAGAAATATTGCCCTGAACATTTGCAAAGAGAACCATAAGCATTCGAATTTGGGGTATCAAACCATAACAAGTGTGCGTACCTATATTTTTCCAGTGACTCACAATAAAGGTCCTGAACATGCTGTAAAGCTTCATCCTTTTCATATTTTGAAGTCAATTTTGGGATTCTCCACTTTGAGGGAGGATTGCATTGGAAAACAACAGCTGTGTCAGTATATGGAATCCACAAGTACTTAATATGTTTGTTTTCAGAGAGCCACTTCCTGCATAAGGGGAGAAAGGAAGAAATTTGAGGATGTTACAATTGCATAGGGAGAAATTATATAGCTACGTAATGATTGACACCAGGAGACATTACTTGTGGTTTTTCTTGACCTTATATGCATTTGAAACGAATGTATGTTCCACAAGCTGATGTCTTTCTACACATTGAAGAGTAACTTCTGCAATGACACCTACGCCACCAAGTCCGCAGCGAGCAAGATAAAACAACTCAGGATCCTTCTCCCTTGATAACTCTATTGTCCCTTTGGCAGGGGTAACCAGTTTCATGCTAATGACTTGCTCATCAACCAGAGGCAAGCTTGCACCAGTGCCATGCGGACCAACCTGTGTTGAATCATGAATAGGCCTGAACTCTGGTAAGTAAGTCACCATTGTACAATTTGTGAAGGAATATTGGGACCGGCTACAATTGGAGGTCTCAGGAATTGGGATGGTGAGAAGAGCTTTATCAGTACAGAAGGATCCTATGAAACTACTTAACTACTGCCTACTGGTAAAAGGACCATCAGATTCTGAAACACACATTTCAAACCCATCATCAGGCCATCTGATTCTAGACAGTTTCAGACATTTCACTGAGTGGTAAATCCAACATCGGATAAATCGCCTACTTGTTCTAGTTTCCATTTGTTAGCGTTCTTAATCTAAGACACAAAGATAAACATGTCCACGGAGCTTGGAATAAGAAATTTAGAAGGTGGATATTTCTCTGCAACAGACCTGAATGAATGAATCCTCCGACCTGCAGCTCCCGAATGGACGCAAAGTTCTGCAGCCTGAATCCATGTCCCTTGAGGAGGACGCGGGCATGGACCTCGTGGTGCCGTTCCAGACCTCCAGTTGGATACGGCGTGCAGGTTCTCCGGCAGCGGCGCGTACCGGAAAGGGACGGCCTTCTTGTGCAGCACGTCGGCTGGGAACGGAGAGGAGTAGTAGGTCGCGGCGCCGCAGCCAAGGAGCAGCAGCGCGTAGCCTTCGTACTTGATGAGTTCTGCGTCGGAGGAGACCCGGGAGGGGCCGGAGGAGGGGAAAGTGGTGGCGGTGGCCGGTGGGGATGCCGCCGCCGCGGCGGAGGCGGCGGCGAGAGTGGAGAAGGTGCCGCGTCATGGTCGTGGCGTTGGGCGCCGCGGCCCGAGGCGAGGGGGAGTGAGCTGTTGGGCTCATGGCCCATACGAACTCCAACATATACATGCGGCCCACGAGTTAGAAAAGGATTGTGACTTGCCGGTCCGTTGGTCCTGATTCTTGAGCTGCTCGGTTCGGTTAGTGCCGTACGGGATGCAAAAGAAATATGGCAACATAGGATCAACTAACCTGTGTAAATTTGAAAACTACCGATCAGAACCATTAAATACTGATCCAATAGATGGGGTGAGAGGTGGGATTTTTTTTACGCTTAAACCCCCCATCCGCCGACCTTTTTTTTTGCGCTTAAGCCCCTCACCCTATCTATTGGATCAGTATCTAGTGATCCTGATAGATAGTTTTTAAGTTTATACAGGTTGGTTAGTTTGCACCTGATATGTTGCCGAAAAATATAGCCCAGCTCAAAGACTAATCAGGCCATGATGTGGATGTGCAAGCGCACGCAATACGGTCGTGGTTGAACCGTGCCCTAGGAAGAGGTTATAGTCAGAATCGGACAAAAATCCATTATATATATATATATATATATATATATTTTTTGTAAGACTTCTGACTATCTTCAACCTAGGGCAACTTTTTTTTTGCATATTTGAAGAAGTAATAGATTTGTCCTTAAGAAAATGTTAGGAATGCATATGCTATGAACATAGAGTCTCCATTTCAAATTAGAAGATGTTTTGACTTTTATTGAGGAGGGAATATTTGACATGCATATTTGCATTTGAAATGACATACATGCTTGGGATTTTCTTTTTCTTCTTTTTGCACGTTGGAAACCAATTCAATGACCCTTAAAAACTTGAATTCCTACATTTAGTTTTGTTAGGAAATATTTTCATTTCCCAATCATTTTTACTTGATGCAAGCATGAGTAAAATTATTATATTGAATTTTTTGTGTAAGACTTTTTTGCCACTCCTCAACCCACAATCAACCTCATTCACCCGAGGGATCATTATCCCTTTCTGTTATCACGTACTCCCTAGTTCCAAATTATATGTTGTTTTGTCTTTTCTAAATACATATTTCTTTATTATATATCTAGACATAATATAGATCTAGGTGCATAACAAAAATTATATATTTAGAAAAGTCAAACCAATGTATAGTAGGTCGGAGGGAGTAAGATTGAGCAGGCGTTATTCGAGGAAAAAAGGATATCATAAATTGGTAGTACTAGGTAAATTGCCGACGTGTTGTCGTGGCATTTGGAAAGAAGATTACAAACATAAAATTAGAGAGGTAGATGGGGGAGTGGAATAATTGCATCATGAGTATATTTGAGATTTGAGATTTCATAGTAGTTGGACATGTAATACAAGAGAGAATGCAAGTAATTTGTTTCATTTCCCTATATCACGAATCCTAGGTTAACCAATCATCAAGAACCCCTGTAACCGAGTATGCAACAAAGAGAGATCTACTTCAATCTGGATGTAGGGTACCACGTACCTGAACCATTATAATGCTTGTGTCTTGTGTGCTGCCCATTTGATTCTCTGTGCGTGAATACGCTAATCCGTATTGCAGGAGTAAATATTTCCGACACAAGGAGCAAAGCTAAAGACTCAAGGAGCAGAGCTCTCCCAAACAGATCGAAGCGTTACAATGATGTTGATGTGCTGGATAGCTTCCAATATTTGCTCCTAAAGTCCAAGGTCGACAACCCATTTGTAGTGAGTCGTGCTATCTCATTTAGTAATCCTTATATCTCCTAAGGTTTTACCTTGTGGAGGAGCATTGTCGCCGCCGCACTAGCCGAGGCCGACGGGGGTTATCGCATTTCCACCGCGAGGCCCCCAGGAGCGCACTAAGCAACTCCTCTATAGGACCTTTGCATTGAGTTACACACACATACCTGATACAGGGCATACTGTGGGGGTATGACCCCCGATACCCATAGGGTTGTACATGGGCCGAGCCACCAGGGGAGGCCCAGCCCACAAGACTACGCCATGTGAAGCACGACACAGGTTGGCGTGCCCCGCAAGGCTACATGAAGATCCTTGGC